GATCGGGTAATCGGGCCACCCGATCGGGTACACTACTCTGGGAAGCTAAAAATACTTTCGAATTAAAATACCCGATCGGGTATATCGGGCCACCCGATCGGGTACACGGCCTTTTTACCCCAAATCACCCCATTTTTCGCCATTTCATCTTCCCCAAACTCCCAAATCTCGAACCCCTCTTCCCAAATCCCCCATTTTCGGACCTTCAAGCTCCCATAACTCACCCAACACTCCACCAAATCCTCTCATACCACCACCAAAACACTCCTCTCACCACCCTCTCCAACCTCATACCCAAAAAGCACCACACCTCCCTCTCTCTCCAAAAATCCGAAACCCTACCCCAAAAACCCCCAAATCCGAATTCAAGCTTGAAATTTGGGCAAAATGGCACCAAAAAGAAGTCAACCAGAGAGCTCTAATGCTAGAGGACCAATTCCGGGGTATGAGACCATCCGCTTTGGGCCGGGAGATCACCGCAAACGATTTTTGGCCATCATCAAAAGGCAAGTAGTTCCTTCTAGATTCCTTTGTCATAATGCTCTTACACAACTAGGCTTGTTGGATGGAATGAGGGAACTATTTGATAGGTTGGAGATGAATTTGATTTTTAATATGAAGTATAATTGTGTTGACAAAGTGATTTATGAGGTGATGAGTTCGGCTAAGGTTGTTCTACATGATGACCCGGCGGAGTTCCTCTACGACAAGCTCACGTTTCGTTGGTTAAACAACGAATACTCAATAACGAGACGTGAGTTTGCGGAACACTTCGGCATCCCCGCACCCCATGAAAGGGGGATACCGGAGAGCACACTTGACGCGCACACTTTATGGGCCAAAATGACCGGAGAAAGGAAGGTGAACGCGTCTAAATTATCCATTAGTCACGTTCAACATCCTCTTCTCCGGATGTTCCTAAAGTTCTTGTGCAATTCTTTGCTTGGTCGCCCCAACAATCACCATACTCGGATGGGGGACGTGGCCGTACTCACTCTAGCCCTTTTTCATAGACCCACGGAATATAATCTTTGCAACTTAATGTGGGATCATTTGGAGGAAGCTTGTAAGAAGACCGGGAACATTGTGGTTGGGGGGGTCATAATGCATTTGGTGAGCAAATTCGGCTATACGGAAAATGCTCCAATCCACCCCGATTCTTTGATGCACATTGGTTGGTTGTCCAATGCGGGTTTGATCTCTTTGGGCAACAAGGACCACAATGGAAACCAACGCTATCGGTGGCACATGAAATACCCCGAACCCACCAAATATTTCCCCCTCCCTTGTGATGAATTGCCTAAGCTTAGGTATAGGATGGCCACATTCGAGATCCCCCATTACCTCCTCCCAAACAACATTCCACCCCACCTACAAGATCAAGCCAACCCACCCGAAGACCAACCCGAGCATCATCCCGATCAAGCCGACAATCAAGGATATGAAGATGTCCACAATGCTCTTCCCGACCCTCCTCAAAACCCGCCACCCCAAGATTTTTTCCAACAACTCTTGGCGGGTCAACAATCCCTCCTTGCCGGTTTCCAAACCATGAGCCTCGATTACACAAAGATGGGTAGGCAATTTACCCAACTACAAGAAGAGTTAGGCCAATACCGGGCGGAGCAACAAGCAAGGGACCGCCAATTTGATGCCTTCCGGACCGAACAACAATCGGCATTCCAAAGGATGGAGGAGCAAAGGGCGGCCGACATACAACGGTATGAAGAGGACTACCGGAGGATGTATGGGCCTACATACTCTTACATGTCCAACATTGGCGGATTTGCATCTATGTCCTCACCACCACCGGCACCCTCTTGGTATAACCCCTCGGATTGGGGTCATTTTGGCGGCTCTACTTCCGGCGGTGGTGGCTATGATGGCGGGGATACTACGATGGGAGAGGGAGGCGGCGATGATATGCATGGGAGCGGCTTTGGAGGCGGCTATTATGGCGGAGAAGGTGGGCACTAAGGATAGTGCCACGTTTCAAGTGTGGGGGAGGAAGCATCATCTCTTGGTATGTCACAATCCCTTTATTTTTTTTTACCTTGTGCTAAGCATTAGTTTCTACAAATAAATTGTTAAAAAAAAAAAAAAAAAAAAAAAAAAAAAGGAAATGAAATGCTAGTTAGGTTGAAAACCCAAAAAGGGCAATCTAAGCAACAAGGGCTTTAAAAAAATGATGAGTGAGTGGTAAGAAAGGAAAAGAAAAGAGATGCTAGGATGAAAACCTGAAAAGGCTCCTAGGCAAAATGAGAGATATGAGAGAAGCATTTGCATTTTTGCAGGGCACTATCTCTTGGGGAGGAAGAAGAAAGGAAGAAGAAGAAGTGAGGAGCATAGAAGACCATTAAACCCAAGGAAAAATTTGTTTTGTAACTTCATTTACAATACTTGGTGGTTTTAGTTCCTTATTTCTTCTTATCTATGAACTCATGGTCTTTTGATGGACATTATGTAAACATTTGGTTTTACTCGAGGACGAGTAAATAAACTAAGTGTGGGGGAGTTGACATTCGTGTAATTTCCATATTTAAATTTGTGCTTTTAATTAGTTTCGAGTGATTGTTACTTTGGAAATTACACACTTTTGGTGTAAATAGTTTAGTTTGTAAAATATTTGTAATATGTTTAGATTAGGTTTATTCTGAGCTCAAACAGGTCCAAATACACTTTGGAGAACATCACCAGTACAAGGAAGGTGCAAGAATGCAAGAAAAAGATTGAAGATCTCGTTTTTGGTCTGTACCCGATCGGGTATGACCTATACCCGGTCGGGTACCCTTCTGAAATTTCGAATCAAATCAAATCCGGGAACAAGGCATCATGCGGGAAGATTTTAACACGTTCGGGTGTCCATACCCGATCGGGTGACCGACAGACCCGATCGGGTATGACCCCATTTTTCAGCTTCGCCGAAGCCACATATGGTACCCGATCGAGTGGGCTGAAAACCCGATCGGGTACACGACCCTGCAAGCCTAAAAAGCCTATAAATACACCCCATTTCCTCCACAAGAAGTGTACCAATTCACATATACTTCTTAGCTCAGTTTAGACAAGTTCTTTCTTTATATTTTTCATCATGTTTAGTCTCCAAATGAGGAGCTAAACTCTTCCATCTTGGTTTTGCTACTTTGAAGCTTAATGAATTGTAAGTTGTGAGTTATTTTCTTTGATCTTCTTCCTTGAGTATTAATTATTTCCTATTCCTATTACATGTCAATATTTTGAGCAATACTTAAAGGATCAACTAGTTTTGTTTCATATATTGATTAATACTAGAATCGGTCGATTAATACGCTTGTTATTAACTCGGTCCTTTCACGGTAGTAAACTTGGGTTGCTAATGCATGCGTCTCATGGTTAGTAAGCCAAGGGGAATTAATTATATTGATTAAACCGATAAACCGCTTGTGTTGAGGTTATCAATCTCAATCGTTTTCATCTTGATTTTATTGCTACTATCAAGTAAATATACGGCGCGTGTTCTATATTGACTCGGTAGTAAGTTTTATTAATGAACGCGTCTCGTTATTAATAACTACCCTCGATGAATTGGATATACTCCTCGACTGAGTATTCGAGAGGAAGATAGTTAAAGATATAACCGGGATCGACGAACATTTCATTAAGTGGATAAAAGCAAAACCAAGTCTCCTTCTCATTAATTAAACCACATAACTCGTTCATCTTCGTATTTAATTAAATTAAATCACTCAAACCTAAACCCCCCCTTTTGTTACTAGTTAATTAAAAAGAGAAATATTCCTTTCCCTGTGGATACGAACCTTACTTCATTATACTACGTATAATTGTTGTATTGTATTATTATTTTGAGTGCACACCGCGACAAAGTGCACGTCAGGCGGACTGACTTCGGCATTTACGAAGGGTTTAGTTACGGTCCTGACCGTGACTAAGACCGTGACAACTTGAAATTTTTTAGTATAAATCATCTTTCTCCGGCCCAAGACTGAACTGTAAAAAAAAATGGCTAATAGAGGTCCAATTGACTGGGATTCGATGTGTAGAGATATGAAACGACTTAAGCTGATTACAGAGCTTATGGAGCCGAAAACCGTGGAAGCATACGAGAGAATCAAGGAGTTGATGTCTAGACCCCTTGAAAGTTTTGGCGATTATAAAGATGAAGAATCCGACTCGTTGGGCAAGTCAAAAGCAAGAAATTTGTGTCGGATGCTTCAACGTGCACAAGAAGTTTCAGAGTATATGGACCCGATCAACGAAGAAGCTCGAATGAAAATTCAGGAGTTGTGGGCTAGGCCTCTTGAAAGTTTCCGATTGAGGAATGAATAATGTTAGTTAGGCTAATGTGATAAATAAATCTATGTTAGTTGTTTAATAAATAATATGTGACAATTTCATTGTGTGTTTTGTATTTATCTTTGAAATTTGATAAATAAATATCTGTTAGTTGTTTATTAATATCTAAATTTATTATAATATTCAGATTAGTAAAAGTAGATTACTGTTTTTTTAATTTTCGAATTTTGTTAATTTTCGAATAGACTTAGAATTATTAAAATTAATTTTCGAATTTCGAATTATTAAAAATTATTAAAATAAATTTTCGAATTTAGAAAAATCAAAAATAATATTTGAATTTTCGAATTTGAAAATAAAAGAATATAATATAGAGTAATTTCATATTTTGTATTGGGTAAATTTTAATTTTCAAACTTCGAATTGTGAAAAATTTTATTTTGAATTTATGATATGGATATAAAAAACTTGTTGTGGTTGAATTAATATGGAGTAATTTTTTGTTCATAATAAATAATGATAAAGATAGAAAAAAATTCAAATATTGTTGGAGTAATATAATGATGAAGAAATCTGCACAAATATTAGAAGTCAATAAAATTGAAATTACAACAGCACAATTATTCGCTATCAGAATCGTCATTTTCTACATATACAGTATCTTCTTCTGTATCTGAACCGTCTATCCATTCACCTTCTTCCTGATATTGAGCATTTTGTTGTGCTACATACATTTCCTCAATTTCGCGCTCAGATGGAATGGTTGGGTCCGGAAGGTGCGTTTCTGGCATGACTTCAACACGTCCGCCATTTGGATCACTTAATTGAACGTTATAGTTGACCGTCTCAACAATAGGCGGAGGTTGGAAAAATTGTTGCTGAAAAGCATCTAGATCAACGTCCTTGTGTTGAGTTTGTGATTTTATTTTGTTCGGACGGACAGGACATGCACACACCCAAGGATTCTGTGTCCGCCTTGTTGAAGGATATTCTGCATAATAAATCTGCGCTGCTTGTTGGGCGAGTATGAAAGGCTCATTTTTTGGGTACACACGAGAGAGGTTGACGTCAATCATATTATACTTCGGATTTTTGCGCACGCCACGTGTGGGGTCGACCCATGTGCAACGGAACAGAACGCATGTCAATTTTTTCGCACAAGAAGGCATCTCAAGTTCCAGAATCTCCTGCAGGACACCAAAAAATTTGGTTTCCGAGTTATCATAACCGATGGTCGGGACACATAACCCGCTGTTCGTTGTTGGTCGGCCCTCTCCGTAATCGGCTGTGTGATATGTGTAACCGTTTATCACATATTGCCGCCACACTTTGGCACTGGCACCTGGACCCCACGCTAATGATACTAACAAAGGGTCGACAATCCCACGACTATTGATCTGTAAATATAAACATAATAATAACATTAGGTAAACATTAGGTAATATATATAATTAATGTGTGTGTATATATACCTGATACTTGTACCAATTTACAAAATCAGAGTCCACCAACGCATCAATTTCATTATCAGGAAAGGCTGATAAAGAAGCTCGGAATTCACTGTGAAGTCAAAAAAAAAAACTATAAATTAACTACAAGTATAAGTAGTTAATTAACTACAACTATAAAAAACTATAAATTAACTTACTGATAAAACGGTGAGATTTCTGGACAATTCATGAGGATATAAGTATGCGCAATTTGCAATTCCCCACCCAGGATGTATCGTTGTGTCGCAGCACCTTTACCTCTGCCTGGGTAATTGAAGATGGAAACTAGATTTTCATATAAATCCTCGCCAATGTCATCGTTCCGGGCAGGTCTCTTCCTTCTGGTGATGACGTCACGCTCGAAGTAAAAAGACGAGAACGTTGAGATTTCTTGTTGAAGATACGCTTGACAAATTGAAGCCTCAACGTGTGCCTTGTTGGTCACTTTCTTTTTCAGCTCTCCTAGAAATCTGCAATAATGCAATAATACACATGTTAATAGTTATTGTGAAATAAATATTCTTTTTTTAAATGAAATTGTGACTAACCTTTCAAATCTGTACATCCACCGATAGAAGACGGGCCCAGCAGTCAAAGCCTCATACGGAAGATGTATAATGAGATGTTCCATTGTATCGAAAAACGATGGTGGCATTATTTTTTCCAGATTACACATCAGAATGGGAACAGACTCTTGTAGTCTCCGGAGGGATGCCGCATCCAAAACGCTGGAACATATCGATTGAAACAACAAACTGATTTCAGTAATGCAGGACCATACGTGTTCAGGGAGCATCTCTTTTAGTGCAATTGGTAGAAGTCTTTGCATTATTACATGAGCATCGTGAGTTTTCATGCTCGTCGTCGTGGTAAGTTTGTTCATGTCTACGCATCTAGACAAGTTGGAGCAGTACCCATCTGGAAACTTCTGAGACGCAAGCCATTTTAATATTGCTGCCTTTTGTGGTTCTGTGACCTGGTAGACTGCTTTTGGAACTTCCTTGCCCTGATATTCTAGATCAACAGAAAGTTCGGGTCTATCACACCAAATAGTCATATCTTTCCTAGCTGCAAGACCGTCTTTAGTTTTGCCTTTCAAATCCATCACCGTGTTAAATATATTGTCAAAGACGTTCTTCTCGGTGTGCATGACATCTAAATTGTGACGGATGAGAAGGTTTTTCCAATAAGGCAACTCCCAGAATATGCTCCTCTTTGTCCACTTATGGGTATCACAATACCCATATGGCTCTTGGTTTGGCTCTTCCATAGCCGTAGGGAAACGTCGAACCCGGTTATAAATTTCTTCACCGGTCAATCTCGGGGGTGGGCTCTCTCGAACCGCTCTGCCTCTAATGAAAGACTTCTTGTCCTTTCGATATCGGTGCCTTTCCGGGAGAAACTTGCGGTGACAATCAAAGTAACTTCCTTTTTTGCTGTAACTGAGCCAGTTGGCACCTGATTTCTCCATGCATATCGGACATCCCATCAGACCGTGTGTGCTCCATCCCGAAAGCATGCCATAGGCAGGGAAGTCGCTAATGGTCCAAATGATGGCAGCTTTCATGATAAACATTTTATCTGATGAAACATCATAAGTTGGTGTCCCAACGGCCCACAGTTCTTTCATCTCCTCGATAAGGGGTTGGAGATAAATGTCTATCTTTCGCCCAGGATCCTTGGAACCCGGACAAATTAAAGACAAAAAGATGAAATGACTTTTCATGCACATGTCGGGAGGGAGATTGTAAGGTGTTAACATGACCGGCCAACATGAATAGTTCTTGCCAAACCTGCCAAAAGGAGCAAATCCATCTGAGCACAATCCCAGCCGCACATTTCGTGGCTCCATAGCAAACTGAGGATGACAGCGGTCAAAGTGTCTCCAGGCTTCACAGTCCGAAGGGTGAGCCATCATACCCTCGTTGGTTTCGTGCTCAACATGCCATGTCATGTGTTTCGCAGTAGCAGTCGAAGCGTACATCCTTTGCAGTCGAGGAGCTATTGGGAGGTAATACAGTTTAGACAGTGCAGACCTATGTCGTGGTTTCTTTTTATTTTGACGAACAGGTTTGTATCTGTCTCCACCACAGAACTTGCAGAACTCAAGTGCCTCATCCTCCTTCCAGAACAACATACATCCTTCCGGGCACGCATCAATTTCAACACAAGGTAGCCCCAACTTAGACATTAACTGCTTCATGTGGTAATATGAATCGGGAAGGGTATGATCTCGCGGTAGCATCCCTCCTACTGACTGCAAGACTCTATTCATGCAAGTTTCAGGGAGACTGTATTCGGCTTTTATGTTCATGAACTCAGTAACAGCGGATAGCTGAGAGTATCCCTCACAATCAACATACAGAGGTTGGTCGACAGCTTTTAGAACATCCTGAAATCTCTCAGCCAAACCTTCATCCACATAAGGTTGATAAAATGTCGGATTTTCATCCGCATCTGGTTGATACGAGGTTGAGGCTTCAGGGGGGTCGTTAGTTGGTTGTGAGGGGTTGAACTGAGACGGTACACCGTATGCGTCATATACCATTTGTTGGTCCCACTTCATTTCAGCACGGTCTCCCCACGCACTCATCTCTGGAGGGACGTAACGAGACGAACCTACCGTTTGTGGTATAACAGATGGATCCAAAGGTTCGCCGTGAGAAGTCCAATTATAATAATTGGGAACAAAACCGACCGCGTACAAATCATACCCAACTTCGTGTGGGTCTTTAAATTTGAGATTTTTACACTTTGAACATGGACATCTTATTTTATCACCACTCATATAAGCCGGATGTTCAAGTGCAAATTCAATAAATTCCCCGACTCCCTCGAGAAAATTTGATTGCATTCCGTACAATACCGCATCTTTATCATACATCCAACTTCTATTTTGTTTATACATTATGCCTGAATATTATAATAAAAAATTAGATGAAATGCAATGCACACAATTTTAAGTAATTTATTTCACTAAATATAATCAACTAATTTTCACTTTTTTTAAATGAAATGCACAGAATTCACATCTTAGTTATGCACAAAATATATGTCCCCTAATGCACAATAATGCAGATAATTTCACTAAATTAAACATACGTTTAATTAAATCTAACTAATTCATTTAGTTAATTTTATACAAATTTAACTAGTTCATTCCGTCCCCTTTTAATGCATCACTACGTTTAAACTTACGTTTAGCTACCTAATTTAACTTAATTAACACATCAATAGCTACGTTCAAACCTACGTTTAGCAAACGAATTTTAATTAAATTATTTTTGTAAACCTACGTTTAAACCTACACTAAATTATTACGTTAATGACATTTAATCTTATTAGTAATACACAATTAACAATTCACTAAATTAAATAATATGACCAAATTCAACCCAATAATTTGAACATGTATATAAAGTTATTTGAATTAATAAGCAATACACAATTCACAATAACAATTCACAATTCACTTAATTAACACATTACTAACGTACGTTATTTGAACTAATTTCACTAAACATAAACATCATTACGTTTTAAACCACATTTATCTAACTAATTTTAATTAAATTATTTTAATTTATAAACCTAAAAGTTTAACTAATTCTAATTTATGACATTACTACGCTTATAGTTAAAACATGTTGTTAATTAATTAACAACCTCACTAATTTAATAGTTTTAATAATTTAAATTGAACCAACTAATTCTAAATAAAAATTATAATTCAAATAACATACCTTATCTGCATAAACAGGGAAAATGATAGAAGATAGACTACATCCTTCGATCTACGGATACTGTATATACTGGGAATGAATTGGTGTGGTTCTGTTGAATGAATGAGCTGCTCCTGCATATATAAAAAATTTAGTCACGGACTTAGTCACGGATTTGTCCGTCACTAAGCAAAACCGTGTCCAACACGCGTCCAACACGTGTTAATTACGTGTAAATGACGTGTTAATCAACATAGTCACGGAACTAGTCACGGATATGGCCGTGACTACATTTATCCGTACATAATGCCGTTACGAATTAACTAAGGGAGTTGAAAAAAAATAAATTTTAACTATAGTCACGGGCATAGTCACGGATTTGGCCGTGACTAAGTCGTCGGAATCAAATAAACTTCGCCGGAAACGGGAATGGGCCTATCGGAGGAATTAAGTCACGGTCCATGACCGTGACTAACATTAGTCACGGTCATAGTCACGGCTCTGACCGTGACTATTTTTTTTTTAAAATTTCCGTGACTAGTCCGTGACTAGACCGTGACTAAACTAGTCACGGTCGAAATCCGTGACTAAAATCCGTGACTATGACGCTGTTTTTTTGTAGTGCACCTTTGTAAGTTATTTGTCTAAATTTCAAAGTAATTGATAAAAGTTGAATATATAAATTATAAAGTAAAAGATCAAAATAATTTACAATGACGGGGGAATATGAACGAGAACCTTTACCTCATATCGAAGGTAATATATATGTAGTACGTAGTAATAAACTGCGAAATATGTGTCTTTAAATAGACGGTTTGGCATTTTTTTTTATACTCCGTATGTACTACGTAATAAATTATTTATATTTACTCCGTAATATTAATTTTTAATGGAACCTAAGGGCTCTTTTATAAAGTTTGACTCAGACCAAAAATATGTTAGGAACAGCCCTCCCCGGAGGGAAGGAATGCAAATGGTTTCTACCATTTTACTTCAAACCTCTCAAAAGCTTTGGTGTTGCTTGAGTAGAAGATGCAAATAAATGTAGAACGGGCTGATATGTCGCTTGAGTGTATTGAGGTAGATGTTATGGTGGAACCAGAAAACAGGCTTTCCATTTCCGAATCTCTCTTTCAGGTTGACTTAAAGAAGTTTTTGAGCATGGAATCTGATATGGTCACAGAACTCTTATCAATTGCATCAGATAATCCGACTACTAAAGAGGGCGCGGGAAAGCTAGAGCAGACCTCCATGGGTGAGAATACAGACTCAAGCGAAGATGAGGTCATCGTTGTTAGAATTCCGCCATCTGGTCAAGCTTTACTGGATCATCTAGCAGACCCTAATTGGAGTTCTATCAAGCCTAACCATCCTAAGAAACTGCCTTTTCCTCGAAGAAGTGCCAGGTTGGCGGAAAAGCTTTCATTAGCTACTTGAGCCTATATGTTTTTTTTTATATATATTTTAGAATATGGTTACCTTAAGATCTCTTACTTTCTCTAGATTTCTCCACTCATTAACGCTTTGTATTTTCTCTCTCTCTTGATTTAATAATAAAATCTAATTATTTTTGCCAAAAAAAGCACATAAAATAATGGACGAGGCTTGCCGGGATCAAATTGGTTAGAGCTTATGAATTGATATTGTAGTATGATTTAAGACTCTATCCTGTTGTTTTTAAGAGTAGACAAGTACTTACAACTCTTATATGTGAGTTTGCATCTTTGCATTTGATCGGTATAGCATGTCATAATTCTTTAAATTTTATAAACAAACTTTGATTACGGAAATAATTATTATTTTTATGACAATCCTCCAACAATTAATATATGCATCACATCTACAACTAGATTAATTACCTTAGCATAAAGTTGGAACTTGAAAGCCAGGACTACTGCAATTGGCATTCCAATGCCATAAAATGATCCCAAGTTTATGCACACAGCCAAGTGCTGCCAACCACATCCCCTAGCTACCGCTACTCACATAAAAAAGAAAAATAAAATGAAACTCAGAGAAGATTATATGTGAAAAACTTGCATAACTTTAGATGTGAAAGATTCCTTGGAAAAAATCAAACATGATTGAGATAACAAGGAATGGTGCCATTGATCCAAATTTGGAAATGACAACAGAGCTATCGCTAAATAGGCCAGCCCAAACATTGTGACCAATGATGAGACAAAGAGCAGTTGCCGAAATAACAAGGACACACAACATAAATGTCACTGCAACCGCTTGCTTAGCTCTCTCAGGTTTTCCAGCTCCCAGCTCATTCGACACTCTTGTGCTGTATTATGTTTCAAAAATACACTTCTCTCAATTTTAAATGATTGGGTGCAACAATATATAGATAAAATATTATGTGTGTCTGATATATGGATAATTAAGAGGTTGTTACTCAATTGGATTACCTTGCAGATGCGTTAAGTCCAATTGCAATCATGAAGGCAATGGCTTCTGTGTTTAAACTGGTTTCACAACAACAAAAACATTACACTCTCCTATATTTAAAGTGACTATTCTAAATGAAGATAGCTCAGTCCATTCAAAAAATTATCCCAAAAGTGCTCTGCTAATTTTAGTCATTTGAAGAAAAAAACGCCACCGAAAGATTGAGTTTTCTTTTTGTTACAAACCAAACAAGCTTTGAATAATAAAGAAATTGCATACATACCAGATTCCAATAAGTGAAGTTGTTATCTCCGAGTTCGGCATAATGCCTGCCAACAGCACTAGAAGCTCAAAGGCCCAATACTCCATGCTGGAAGCAAAAAGGGGATATTATTAAAGTTCTAACTTAGCAGTATCAATGCCTCTAATACTTTCTCAGGTTTCTCCACGAATATTACTAAAATGTAACTCAAGTACAAACATATGACTGCACTTTGTGTGGAAATACTACGATGTCAGTACACTGTAAAGTTGGACATCACCAATGTCAATGCAAAATATTAATTAATATGGTCAAGGCATATTTAAGTTTATATATTTAAATCACATATTTCATACTTTCTTAGTAGTTTGTACTCATAATTACTCCTTATAGAGATTAAATAATAATCTGCATAAAAATAAACTAACCACACCATAGCAGCGGAGGTCAAAGCCAGCTTCATAGTTGTATATAGATAAGCAAATGATTCCGACGAAAATCCTTCCCATGTATTCTTGAAATTCTCCGAATATAGTACGTAGAAACCCAACATAAAGAATGATATCCACAATGAAATTGAGGCAGCCAATGGAGCACCAGCAAAACCCAGGCTCGTTAACTGAACCAATACGTAAGTGAGGAAGACTTGGATAGATAGTGGCACAATTGAGCTCAAGACCAATGGTAAAATAACCCTCTGTGTCTGCATAAACTTCAACAAATTTTGCAGAAAACCATAGGCGAATAATCCTGGGATGAGAAACTTCAGGTACAAGCCAGCCAGTTTTGCTATTTCAGGTTCTTGTTTTAGTAAAATTAAGATGTGATCAGAAAACCACCAAACTGGAGGTATATTCCCATCATTCTGTACATCTTTGCGCCATATCCTTGTCCGCATAATGTCTCAAGTGCCCCACTTAGACCAATCTATTACATTTCAATCCATATATGATCAGTGAACATGCTGAGTTCATTCGTGTTTGTCATATCAAAAGCTGATCATTCTTAGCTAGTACAAAGTATATAGGCCAATGTGACTATTATTCCTACTGTGTTTATTCACTTTTTGTTCAGATTGATATATGATAAGTGTTAAATCATTTGTCCCACACCGGAAAGCTATAAAACAATTAAACACTATATAAGGTTTTGGGCTACTCCTCCTGTCAGGTTGACTTTTAGGATGGAATCCCGGGTCTTAATATCCGATAGCAAGTGGGATTAACATGACACTGTTCTAATGATTTTCTACATATTGTTGCTCCAAAGAAATGTCGTATATTATTAATCTGTCAGTTGTGCAATGAGCTGAGAGTGCTGAGGACCGACCGCATACTTTTGGGCAATGTAGGCTGGCAAAACAAATCAATTAGGCGCTACCCATAAAGGCTGAGTATTCTTTCGTTGAATGGGCTGAAGAGTTTTTTGCAGCAGGAAGGGAGGACTTGTGTACTAAGTTTGTGGGCTTTTGTGGGGAGTCGGGAGAGCAAGAAACAACAAAATCTGGGAAGGCAATTTTCATGCGGGAGGCTCTAAGTTGGATCAAAGGAAATGGTTGGGATAACATACATACCGAATCGGATGCTCAATAATTAATTGCTAGCATTCAGGAGGGTTGAGACAAGTCCCCATTTGGTGTTATAGCTAAAGATATTAGATAATTACCCATCTACTTTTATTAGTATAATTTTTTCTCCTATAAGGCGGTCAGCAAATCGGGTGGCCCATGAGTTTGCTAGGATAGCCGATACCCGATTCTATGTCTGATAGTTATGTTTGGATTTATGATCCTCCCTTGTGTATCTCTTTATTGGGTCATAATTTTATTACGTGTAATATGTAGTAATAGTTAATAGTTAATATTTATTCTCCAAACAATGTTGTAAGAGAGTGTACACATTTGTCTAAATTGAAATGAGCATGTCTGAAAACGTGTGGTGGTAATTTAGCAAATTGTATGTCTAAAAAAGTATGGTTGTAGTTTAGCAAATTACATATGTACGTACACATGGTGGTAAAGTCCCCCTTTTGTGCAATGTCTTGGATTCAAGTCTTCATTTTTGTGAGATTGATGCTCGTTTTTTACGATAAAGGTGTTACTGATTACGCTACCATAATATTTGAACCATTAAGAGCAAAACCTCCATTTCTTTTGATGGGAATTGAATCCGAGACATCACAGAGATGGGAGGGAGACTTTGATGAACCAAAGGAGCAACACCACCTTGCCCAAGATTGTTGTTTCTCTCCATTGTAAATAAGTATCAAACTATCGACTAATTTTTCTGCTTACGGTAAATTTCATGCTAAGTTGACTCCACAAATTCAAGGAAAATGACATTTAGGATCCAATCTACCCCATTGGCCTTAAATCTACCTCAAAGAATAAAAAATGGGTTCTTTTTTAAAAATTGCAAAATGTATAAAAGGTCTGACATAAAAGAAATACAGATAATTAAGCTAATTTGTTTAACAAAAATGAAGAGTGTTATATAGGACTGGGACCGGTTCAGTTCTTAGGCAAATCATATGGAATCATTTAAAATCTCAATTTTTAATATTAGTTCGGTTCTTATGAATTATTTTGGAGCCGAACCTTAATGATTCGGTTCTAGTCATTTTCGGTTCCTAAATTTTTTAAAATCTCCTAAAATCACCGCTAAATTTGTACCATATTAATACATTCAACGTTTGAAAATTATAAGAAAGAGGAAAAATTCACATAAATAATCTGAACTATCAATGGTCTTCCAATATTAATCCCAAATATGAGTTATTCTGGTATAATCTAATCGGAAAAATTGAAAATAATAATCCCAACTATTGCCTGTCCGTTGATAATAATCTCAACTATTGATTATTTTTGTATAATTCCAACTATATGGATCATCCGCCAATAATGGTCCATGACCAGATATTACCTCCTATAAAAAGTGAATTTTAAATAGAAATTAAGTGTAAAAATTAAAAGTTAAGATTATTTATAGGGATTGCTTGCTATACCTCTCCTCATCCACTTAAGAAACTACATGAATTTATTTATAGGGACCATTATTGGCGGAAGGTCCCTAAAGTTGGGAGTATTCTGAAATAATCAATAGTTGGAATTATTATGAGCAGACCGCTTATAATTGAGATTATTACTATCAATTTTTTCTAATCTAATTTATAAGCGTTATCTTCTCAAAAGGAGTGGGACATGTGGCCTTTTTTTATTGGTTTTCAATTACTTTTGTTTTTCCTTTTCATTTTCTTTCCTGATTTTTTTTCTTTGATTTGTTTCTGTCTTCAGCCTTTCCACATCTACTGTTTTTTTTTGTTTTTCCTGATTGTTGTCTTTTATGTCTGCCTATTCAAGCATATCGCCCTCTGGTGCGTCGTCTTAGCCAGAAGGTTGACACCCCTTTTGGCCTCAAAAACGGGATGACGACAGTAGAACCATAAGAAAAGCCTTGGCTATTCTGCATCTGGCTGAGATGGAATCATGGTGCGACACAAAAGACAACAGATTTTTCAATCTAGATCCAAAAAGTTTCTGCAACTAATTTTTTTCTCATTCATTCAGGCGGTGTGTGAAGGCAAAAAGAAAAAGAACACTAGCAAGAAGAGGAAAGAAGGGATGAACTAAGAGATCGAGGGAAAGTGAGAAACTAAATAGGGAAGAAATGCAATAAAATAGGGAAAAAATTGCTGCAAGCACGATGGAGAAGCACTCCCGACACCGTGCAGTTTTTCATCGGGTGTTGGTTGGAGAATCGCCGGAGAAGACAACCGGAGTAATGGTCGATCTGCCATTATTGCTTTGCCATGTTTTCTCGTTAGTGACCGTAGTCCATTGACAAGCAAAAGGAGGGGAAGCTAGAAACTTAGAACTGTTAGACTTTCCCCCCTTTTTTATTTTATTGTTTTTTACCTGTTGAGTAAGTTGTAGGTCATTGGGATCAACTTAAGAAGACTCCTTATTAAATTTTGATTATTTTAGAATTACTTATATTTGGGATTAATATGGGAAGACACCTAATAGTTAGGGTTATTAATATGAAATTTTCCTAGGAAATACTAATACGTTCAATGTTACCATCATTTCAAACCTCAAAAGTTAAGTTTTAAATGTAAGTGCATAACATATTCAAAAATTTAGTAAAGAAAACATAAAAAGATACTTGCTACAAGAGAAATCGGTTAAATTCTTATCAAATTATTAACTCTATATTTTATATCAACTCTATTAACTAAACTAATTTAATGAATTTAATATATAAATAAATATTCAAAAAAAATAAGTTAATAGCTAATAGATAAAAACTTAATTATTATATAACGGTTCCACATACATATTTTTTAATAGAAACCGAGAACCAAACCGTTAGTAAAAAAAAGGAACTGAATCCTTCATAAATAACTAATTAATGTTGGAATCGAACCGAACTGGGTCATAGCAGTTCGGTCCAATTCGGTTTACCAGCTCTTGGTTCCAAAGTCCCACCCATAGAGTTATATAGACAATGAAAACCAAGAGCTTATATTTAGTAGTGCTGGAATTGATTGAATTAACTGAAATTATGGCTGAATTTGTTGATTCTATTGAAATATAAAAAACATACACGTAGTATTTAAAATTTGTATATTTTAATGAAACAAGGAAAAACTTATATAAAAAATAAAATTGTCATCTTCAAGAAATTCGACCAAAAAATAATTTCAATCTTATCTATTTTTATTATCACGTTGTGAAACAAATTTTAAGTATTTACTTATAATTTGTCTCAAATAAAATATATGAGAATATTGGGTTCATTCTCTAAATATGATCATCTGATTCTTCACTTGAAATTTAAAATAAATATAATTAAACATATTTGTTTAAAATTAAATCCTTAGTTATTCAAGTATTCAAACGTTCTATAGATTTTCAAGTCTTTGTTCTTGAGATCTTGAGATCTTAGATTCTTCGTTCTTCAATTGTCAGATCTTCACTCCTATGTTCTTCTAATATTCAAATCTTCAAACAATCATTCTTTACATATTCAAATCTTCATAACTTCATTGTTTGAATCTTTGAATGTTCTTGAATGTAATATTCTGCTTGAAGGATATCTGGTCATTAAATAACTTGATCTTCAACAAAACGATCATTTTATGGGTTGATCTTCTGTTGAACAGTTTCCCATGATATATGACATGAACTCCAATGGATCGAATCTAGATGCAATCTTGACATGAATATCTTTAAATCTTTAATGACTCGTTCGGATCTTCGAATCTTCAAATCTTCGTTCTTCAGATCTTTGAATTTTCAAAACTTTGTTCTTTGAATCTTCTAACGTTCTTCCGGTCTTGGGCTTATATTATCAAGAACAGACGAAATCAATGAATTTTTCGTATATTCTTAATAAAATCCGTGTATTTATTTCTTCAAAACTTCTTCGAAACTCTTCAAAGTGTCACGGGAATTCTTTAGTTTCGTTGTTTCTTTGTCAGGAAGTTCGCTCTTGATTTCTCTCAACTAGCAACTAGGAATCCTACTTATAAATATGAATGGAAAGAGATATGCATTAGGATTCCAAATAGTTCATCGAAAAGGACTTTGAGAGTTTGAGCTCATTTACTTATATTTTCATAGTTAGAAAAACCAGCACTTTTTTTTTGAAAAAAAAAAAAAAAAAAAAAAAAAAAAAAAAGTGCTTATGCAATGCTATTTCTTATGCATATGGACGGAATTCATAGTTAGATTCATCGCCATCTTCATAAATTAGATCATGTCTTTTATTTACTGGGATACCATTTAATTTTAGGCTTAAAAATGATATGCTTAAAATAGAGAAATTAATAGGACCGACCCATTGTTTTAAAAGCTCAATTTATAACTAAATAATGGAGAATTCTATTCCCAATCCTAAAATTGCTATCCACATCGACTTAATTAATATAGCCAATTTTTAAATTTGAGTGGACCAGGGCCTAGGACCCCCCACTGCTACTCCCCTGGATATAGAACAAAATATGTTCCCTCCGAAATTAATGAAGCTTTGCCTCATAAAATGATAATAAATCAATCTTAAAACTATGCTAATTTTGTATACACGTTTTGTACTCTCTCCGTCCTTTGTTATTGAGTCAAATTTGACTTTTCAAATCAATGATGTTAAACTTTAACCAATTATAGATTTATACACGGTGGTATTGATAATATAAAAATGTTCTTTGTTAAAAATATTATCATAAAATTATAAATTTATTAAGTTTCACACATATATACTAGTTAAAATAATGGATCAAAGTTTGCTATCTTTGACTGAAAAAGTCAAAGATCACTAAATCAAAAGAGATTGAGATAGTATATTTTTGTCCGATTGTCTCTGTCACAGACAATATGTACATAATTTTCAAGATTTTTTCATTTTTATTTTTAAGCGAATTATCTATGATACAAAACAAATATTAATCCACAATCAAATTCCAGTGCCCATCTTATTTGGTTTATCTTCATCAAAATAAGGGAAAAATAGTTTAAAAACTTAACTTTGAAGGAGTATGAGATAAACACTTCAAACTTGCATATGTGATATAAATATTCTGAACTTTATATAAAAAATTATGTTAGCACCGTGACTATATAATTTTTATTTCACAAATATAAATTTATGGTGTTAAATAAGTAATATATACATTTAGCATTTATGAAAGTGCAGTTAACATTCTTAGGTTCTCCATTCAAAAAAAAAAACATTTTAGCTTCTATTTTTGAAATAACTTATATTGTCAATACTCTATTTAAAAACTCTTAGTTTGATATTTGTCAATACATAACTCTTACCATTAACATTGACTACTAATTAAAAAAAACTATAGAGTTTAAAATTGCACATTTTAAAATTTTAATCCAGGACAATTTTTGTAATGTTTTACATATGAAAATTG